TTGCACCCCTCCCCCCACACCCTTCCCTATTCCCCCATATCCCTCCCCCCACCCCCTCCTGAGACAGCCCTCCTGGGTGTGTTTCTCCGGATTGTGGCTTAGCCGTGGCAGACAGGCGTTCGGGTTCGAGTCAGTGCGGGGTGAGGGGAACGCAGGCGCCCACCTCTCTCGGCTGGAATTCCCGGGGCAGGGGGCAGGTGCAGGGGCGGTTGTGAGGGACCCACCCTGTGGGCGGGGCCCAGGGGGTCCTGTGTGTGGGGTCCAGGCCAGGTGAGGCCCAGCTGAGCTGAGCAGCCTGGCGGGGCCGGCGTTCACCGTGTCTCCCACGTCTGTCTGCAGCCCAGCCCCTTTGCCGCCGAGCGTCTGCCTCAGGACCCAGCGCTCCCCTGTGCCCCTCGTGCCCGTTATTATCTGTGGGTCCCGGCTTCATGGCTTCTCGGCGCCCTCCCCAGCGGGGAGGAGGCCCTGCCTGGTAAATGACGTGTGGTTTTGTTGTAAAAGCGGACGGACGGACGGGCCCGGTGTGTGTCCGTCCATGCGTGTCTGGCCGTGCCCGTCAGGATGTAGCGTGTCCCTCACCCCGGCCCGGGGTGCGGCGTGGGGACCGCGCCCCGGGCACCCACTCCTCTCTCCTCCTCCTGAATCCGACGGGGGCCCCCTCTCCCCCTTACCCGGCCCGTCACCGCGGGCACGGCCGTGCTTTCCAGGGCTGCCCACCTCGGGGAGCTCCCCACCACGGCTGGCAGCCCCCCGAGGGCACCCCTCCTCTCTCCCTGGGGCTGGTCTGCGGGGCCTGGGTGTTCCAGAAGCTGGTTCTGTCTGAGCGCGTCTGTCATCTTTCCCGGTGCCTTCTCCTCTCCGGCGGCAGTGGGGCCTGCTCTGCCCGCCGGGCACAGGCTGGCTCTCCGAGGTGCCGCAGGATGGAGGAAGCGGGGTCAGGGTGCCCGGCGGGGCCCCACGATGCCGGTCCCTGAGCCGGCCAGGCGGCTCTCCCTCCTGTTGTTCCCCCGGCATCGGGGACGCGGTTCTCAGAAGGGGCGCACACGCGCTCCGCACGCCCAGCCCGGTATCCGCCCGCCGGCGGGAGCGAAACTGCAGGCCGCTCTGGGGGTGTCTCCCAGGCCCGGGGGGTGAAGGTTTAGGGCCCAGGAGGCTGCTTGTTCTGCCCGCTCTGATCCAGACAGTCAGCAGTTTGGGGGTTGGGGGTGCCCATGCCCCCGTCCTGGGAGGCGTCTCCTGCAGCAGGCCCCGCGCCCCGTGGGCGGGGACGGGAACCCCGTTCTCGGGCTGGTGGATGCCTCTTCAGTGGGAGTTTTCCTTCCAACCTTGGAAGTGGGAAGGGGGGGGGGGCTTCCTGGTGGGCGTTTGGCCCCCCGGCCTCCCTGGGAGGCACTGAGCGGATCCAGGTCGGGCGGTGGGGTGGGGTCAGGGCTGCCTGTGGCTGGCCGGTGGGCCCGGGGGCCCCACTGCCCGGTGGGCTGGCTGTGGGGGGGCAGAGGCGGGACCCTGAACTGCCCTCAGGGAATGGACGGGGAGACTCTCAGACTCAGTGACTGGGGCTTGGGGGGCTGGCGCAGGAGGAAGGGTAGGCAGAGACCGCTCAGTCAGGGAAGGCTTACAGATGTCCCCTCCCCCCCCCAAAAAAAAGGGGGGTTGGGGGAGGACAAGGAAGACAGAGCCGGTGCACAGAGGGAGGGAGAGGGGGGCATGCTTGCACACGGCGCTTGTGGCCTTGCTAGCGTTTAAAGGATCCCGTGTTTCTTCCGAATGACAACAGGAATTTGAAATTACGTAGCTCCCCCGCCACCCCTCCCCCCCAGGGGGGGTGCAGCACTTCCTAGAACTAACTGCACAGGGAAGTTCACGGAAAGCAGCGCACCCGGCAAAGGCAGGGGAACCAGAGGCGACTCTCAGGGGCAGGAGACACTTCCCGGCCTGGGTGCTGCTGGGAGCGGGCACCGGCCGCCTCCGTCCTCGTCTGCGGGCATCACGTGGCCCGGGGGGCAGGCGGGGCGCCCGCCGGGCAGGACTGGCTCTCACCGGGGGACGAGGGGCCGCCTGCCCTGCCCCCCGGAACTCACCTGTGTCATTGGAACGCTCAGTGTCATTTCGTCCCCTCCCTCCCCATCATGTCCTTCGTGCCTCTCTCTTTTCCAACCAAACAGTATTTTGACACCCTCCTCCTGTTCATTAGGGTCCAATGGCGAGGAGCACGCCCTGCTATTTCCAAAGAGCTGCTCTCTCAGCCCTCTCCTCTGGCCCTGGAATTGCGTAGATGTAATTGGTAATTAAAGGTGCGAGCTTTCCAATATAAACAGTATTGCTCAATGCCCGATCGTTAAAGGGAAAAGAGGCTCCGGATAATTACCTTTTTCTTTTTTATCCCGATGAACGGTTTTCGGGAACCCAGCTCCCCCCGAAAAAAAAACAAAACACCCCACCCCCACCCCAAAACCGCATGGGGCGGAGGGCGGCGACTCCACTCTAACCTGGGAAATCAAGGATGTAGCATCGACCCCAGCTCCTCTCTCAGTCCGCTCCCGTTCCTTCTGGCAGCGTGAGGGGTGGTGCCTCTCGGACCTCCCGGGTGCGTTTGGCTGGAGGGGAGCAGACGGGGCTTAGGGTCTCCCCCTCTGCGGGGGGCTTTGGTGGGACCACGTGGCCATGCTTTGGTAGTTCTGCGTTTCGTTCATGGAAGTCCCTCTCTGCTCTTCTAGAACCCCAGGCAGCACCTCAGACGCCCATCTATCTCCCTTCCCAGCGGGTCCTCTTTGGAGACCCACACACGCATGTTTCATACGTGTTCTGTGTCGTGTGGACTCAGGCCTGCCCGCGGACACGCACGGAGGAAGCCTGTGAAGCAGTGATTTATGGATAGGGCGGAAGATGCTGCAGGATGTTTTCCTGAAATTATCTGTCCTCTGGCTCCTGCCCGCCCACCACTCCAGGGCCACGGAATGCGTCCCTCCCCGTCTTCCCCTCGGTGCTCCTGCGGTTTGCCCGATCCTCCCTGAGCAGCTCACCCCTGAATGGGGACCTGCCCCCCCCCGGAGTTCCCGCCGCTGAGGACCCCGACCCTCGTGCCATCTCCCCGACCCCTGCCACTTGCTCTCAAAAATCTGCACCTCGAATTCACTCAGGCCCGGAGCGGGGCGGGCGCAGCTCAGGGCCACGTACCTGACTTAGGGCACCTTTTTTTGCTGCCGGCTCTCCCAGGGCCCCCCTACCCCCGGAGGCTTTCATTGGTTCCTAAATATTTGTGTCCTGTGCCCCTTACAAAATAAAATAAAATAAAAAAATAATAAAATAAAATAAATACAGAAATGTATCGGCTGCTAAAGAAATAGGAAAATGTACAAAACCCATTGGAAGTGTGGTTTGCCATTGGCCCGGAAATGCCTCTGGACTCTGAAGGATTCCCCCCTTTCCTTTCTCTGGGAGTGAGAGGGAAGCAGCAGGTATGCAGGGCAGGGGCTGTCGGTGAGGGCTGGGAAACCGACAGAGCTGTGGTCTGCCCTGTGCCCCTCCCCTCCCGGCCTTGCTGTCCCTCCGGCTCTTTCTGCTGGAGCCGGCACCTCCTTGCTGGGAGCACCTGGCTCCTCTCTCTCAGCAGGCCCGAGCCGGCTGCCTGGGCTTCTCTTTTCCCGCCCGGGGCTCAGCCAGGCCTCAGGTGGAGGAATGCAAGCCGGACGCACATGAATGGGGAAGCCATGAATGAGAGGAAGGTGGGCGGCGAGGGGGGCGGCAGGGAGAGCTTCCCCCGCCCCCTTCCCGGGCCAGAGGGCTCTGGCTCGGGGCTCTCCGCCATGGCTGCCCATTGGCATCACCCGGGAGTCTTACACCTCGACCGCCCCCTGATGTTGGGGTCCCGGGGTGCTTGGCCTGGGCGTGGGAGGTTTTCCAAGGTCCCCGGTGGTTCTCTGATGCTGCGGATTCTGAGAGACGTGTCTCTAGACCAGTGGTCGGCAAATGCATTCGTCCACAGAGCCAGGTATCAGCAGTGCGACGGCTTAAACTTCTTTTGAGGGCCACGTTTTTTAAACATAAACTATCTAGGGAGGTGCGTCGTTATTCACGTAATGAGGGAACTCCTAAGCTGGCCTCTGCTACAAACGTCCTCCGTCTGACGGAGGTGCGTTCGCGGAGGCCGACCCCTCCCAAAGAGCCGCCGGTGGCTCGCGAGCCGACTACTGCTCCGGCGGGTGCCGCCCGCCCCATCTGGGAGGGCTGCGTCGCCGTAAAGCCAGGATGTGTGTTCGTATGCTGTGGGGAGGGGGGAGCAGTGGGGGAGGGGGCTGGCAGAGCATCAGCTAGGAAGCAGTTAGGTCAGCCCCGCCGAAGCCACGAGCTCAGGGAGCCCTGACGTTGCTCCTGGAGCCTCGGTGGGCCCTCGTGTGGCTCACCATCGGGACAGGGCGCCCCTGCCTCCAGGAGGCCTGGGGAGGGGGACGTGGGGGGCTCCGGCGTCTGCCTCCAGGAGGCCTGGGGAGGGGGACGTGGGGGGCTCCGGCGTCTGCCTCCAGGAGGCCTGGGGAGGGGGACGTGGGGGGCTCCGGCGTCTGCCTCCAGGAGGCCTGGGGAGGGGGACGTGGGGGGCTCCGGCGTCCTGCCTCGGGGAGGCCTGGGGAGGGGGACGTGGGGGGCTCCGGCGTCCTGCCTCTGAGAGGCCTGGGGAGGGGGACGTGGGGGGCTCCGGCGTCCTGCCTCGGGGAGGCCTGGGGAGGGGGACGTGGGGGGCTCCGGCGTCCTGCCTCGGGGAGGCCTGGGGAGGGGGACGTGGGGGGCTCCGGCGTCCTGCCTCCAGGAGGCCTGGGGAGGGGGACGTGGGGGGCTCCGGCGTCCTGCCTCGGGGAGGCCTGGGGAGGGGGACGTGGGGGGCTCCGGCGTCCTGCCTCCAGGCGGGGATGGGCTGGGACCCAGGCGGGGGTGTGCGTGTGCTGGTGACTGCCTAAGCCCATCTCTGTCTTCTCTGCCCCCCCCCCCCGCCCCCTTCTCCGCAGCTGAGGCTGACCATGTGGAGGCTGCCATCCTCGAAGAAGACGAGGGTCTGGACATAGAGGAGCCCAGCGGCCTGGGGCTGCTGGTGGGCGGCCCGGACCCCGACCTGCTGACCTGCGGACAGTGCCAGATGAACTTCCCGCTGGGGGACATCCTGGTGTTCATCGAGCACAAGCGGAAGCAGTGCGGCCTGGGCGTCTGCTACGACAGGGGCCTGGACAAGGGCAGCCCGCCGCCCGCCGCGCGCCCCGAGCTCAGGAGGGTGTCCGAGCCGGTGGAGATCGGCATCCAGGTCACGCCCGACGAAGATGACCACCTGCTCTCGCCCACGAAAGGCATTTGCCCCAAGCAGGAGAACATGGCAGGTAGGGCACCTCGCGCTGGCCCCCTCCCGTGCCCCACGCCCTCCGTGCCCCATGCCCACCCTCGCCGTCCGCGTGTCAGTGCTGGGACGGCCTCCGGGCCCCCCGCTGGGCTCGTCCTGTCCCAGGGCCCACGGTCCAGGTGGCCCTCCGTGGGCGACGGGCCCAGGGTTCAGGGCGGCCCGATGGGCTGGTGGTTGCTTTGCTTTTGGCCAGGGGGCGCCGCCCAGGTCTGGCCTACTGTGCGGGCGGCCAGGAGGTCAGGATGGCTGGCCCGCACGGTGCTGTGGCTCACAGCTTGGTCTTGGGCCTGGGAGCCTTGCTCTTGGGTTAGGATCTGTGCTTCTCAACGTGGCCCGATCGGTTTCCCGAACGTGAAAGGGAGCCGGTGACCCCTCGTTCCTCAGGGTCGTGGTGAGCTTCTGGGGCTGCCTGTGTGTGTGTGTGTGGGGGGGGGCTCTGCCCAGCCCGTGTCCCTGAGTGGGGCAGCCACGTGGCATCGGATTGGGTGCAGATGAGGGTTCGAACCCTGACGGTTGACTCTGCACACGTCGCTCCTGGGCCCCTGCCTCGGTTTCCCCACCTGTCAGCCGGAGTGATAACACTGGCCATCCCGTGGGAGGATTCCGTGAGCAGCGGCTCCGTGAATGCTTCGCCCGTGGAACGTTCCTTTGGGGCTGTCCCCTCTGTGCTGCCGTGTGCAAGCGGGTGTCGGCGGCCTGCTGGGCCAGTGTGCGGACCCGTCTCCTTCGTGGTTCGGTCACGGGAGCTAGTGGGGAGGTTGGAGGGACTGAGGTTGTGGTGCCCCTTGGAGGGTGAGCCTGGTCAGCACACAGGTGAGATGGATGGTGTGTGCAGAGACCCCCCCCCCCGCCGCCCCCACCATCAGGAGGCTGTGGGGGCGGTAATACAGCAAGCCCAGCTTCTCTGCAGCAGCCACTGTGGGCCTGGCTTTGCCCATCTGTAAAATGGGATCAGGGAGCTAGATCTGTGGTGGTCTGCGCTGGGGACACTGGCCTGGGGTTGGGGGATGTCCCAGCAGGAGAGCGCTCACACGCCTTCGGCACCGAGGCCGTTGAGAACAATGCCCCAGGCCCCGCTCACGGAGACCCTAGCTTCCCAGCTCCGTGCAGACCCGAGCGATGCTTCGTTACATCTGAGAACAGCACTGCGTCCCTTTGTCTGTACCGGTGAGGGCCCCACCCCTCTGTTCTCAATCACGTGCGCGAAGATGGCTCTCCCAGCAGTACCTACGCCTGGCATCGGTGCCCACAGACCCTGGCGGCTCTGCCGGGGACGGACGGCTCCCTGCGTTTGCCAGGAGCCCTCTGAGTCCTCCTATGGGGGGGACAGGTGCTTTTCCCGGGAGAGGCTGCATGCAGAGCACGGAGGGCATGTGTGTTTCAGAAAGCAGCTACATATGACTTCCTAAAAGGCCACATTAATTCGTAAGGCCCTGGGTCTCTCCCCGGCCCCTTCCCTTTGGTTGTAGGTTGTAACACAGCAGTGGCCTCCTAGTACTGTTGCGTCATGTGACCAAAGGTATCCTCGGCCTTTTCTGTTCCACAGCAGGACGGATAGCTCTCTCCATTCCTGAGGACTATGTAACACAGCCCTTTAGAAGTCTAAAGGGACGTGTTTGTTCAGAGCGTTGAACGTGGCATTTCCATCAGAGGCACAGAGCCGTCCCCATACCACGCCAGCCGGAGACGGGGGTCCGAGCCACGGCCCACCACGCTCCTTCTCTCTCTCCCACCCCCCCCTTCCCCCCTTCCGACTTTGGCACCAACTTTTTATTTTATTTTAATTTTTATTTAATAAAAAGGGGAAGATTAGAGAATAAAACTTCAGGGGCTCCCACGTATGAAGTAATCTAATATGGTGGGAGCATTAATTATTTTAGCGTAATTGAATTCTGAGGACTGCGGCGGTTGCATTTCTGTCGACAAGCCCTGTTTATTCTTTCTCCGTGTAGATGAACAGCAAAGGAAACGCAGATAACTCCCAGTTATTTATTGTAAAATAAATGTGTCAATTCATGTGTAAAGCAAGCTGCTCTGGGATAATTGAGCCTTTATATTTTAAGGGGGGGGCTCGGCTCCTCAGGGCTCCCGGAATCCCGCCCGGCTGCTGCCCGGGCCCCTGGCACCGCTGGCCGCGCCCGGGCCTCCCCGGTGGCTGTTGGTTCTCGGGGCCTCGCCGCTGGCGTGGTGTCCGAGGGGAGGTGCTTGCAGTGGTCAGGCGGGTGGTGACTTGCCTGGGGGGCCGTCTGCGTGTTGTCCGCATCGAGGCCAGGTGCTTCTGGAAGCCGTGATCCAGAAATGGATGGGCAGGGCTGCCCGGTCACTCGTGGGGGTCCCTCCCGCTCTGGTGGGCACCCCCGGTGAGAACTACCTTGGGATTCTGTCAGTCATCACATTAGGGCGGGACTTCCGGTCCCCCTTTCCTGGGGACAGTCATTCTGGGGATGGGGATGAAGGATGAGTTCCTATTCCTTTTTATTTTTATTATTTTTTTTTAATGGTAGGGAAATAGGAGAATGGAGGAGGACGTTTTGGAAGCCTTGTCTCTTGAGCGCATGCATTCAGACATCCATCCATCCATTCATTCATTCAGCAACTGAGGGCTGACTGCCCTCCACAGCCCCCCCCACCGGGTGGTGGAGGCCTAGGGGCCCGGAACACCTGGGGCATGGCCATTGGGGCTGCTGCTCTGTCTCGCGTGGGGGACGCGGCCAGAGTGTGGGCGGGTAGGGTCCCTGCCCTTGATGTGTGTGTGGCTACAGGCCCAGGCCCGACGCCCTGAGCGTCCACTCTGGGCGAGGAGGTCCGTGGTGCTTGCGTCCCATCTGGGGACCGAGAGGCGACGCTGGTCACCGGGGAGGACCTTGGCTTGGAGGTCTGAGTAGGAGGAAGCCATCTGAATCTGGGACATACCAGCCTGTGTAGGAGCTCTTTCCTTCCGTACGGTCCCTTCCTACGGCCCGCCCTGCCTCTGGGAGGTTTCTGATGGAGCTCGGCGCACCCATCCAGGGGGGATGGAGACCCTGGGAGGGGCCATCGGGAGGTTCCGGGGTTTGCCCAGAGCAGGGCTCTCTGAGCCCTTGTCGGGGCCCGGCGTTTTGAGGAGGGGCGAAGAGAAAGGGAGCTCGAGGGGGTGTGGGGTTTGTGGCCTGCTGCCTGGCAAAGGACCCCGCCCAGGTGTGTGCCACCCTGCTGCCTGCCCGCCTCGCTGAGCTGCAGGGCCCGCACCTGGGGACGTCCCTCACAGCGATGGTGACTTCACATGACACGTGCTACCCACGTGAGCGCCCTTCCCTCGCCCCAGCCCCGTCGAGTCCTGGGGTTCGCGTGGGCCCCTCTGGATCACTGGGTTCTGAGGATCCCATCGCCAGAAACAACTTCAGAACCATATGGTGCCGTCCGGCGTGTCCCTCCCCTGCCAGCCCCCATCCCGGTTGCATGGCTGTCCTGGGGCAGTGCGCTCAGGGTGTGCCACCCTGGGGAGGGTCTCGGGGTCCGAGCAGCCAGGGCGTGGGCATTGGCTGGACCCCGGAAGGCCAAGTCCCTTTTCTGGAACTCCGTTTCCACGCCTGCACCCACTTCTCAGCACACGCCGCGCGACAGCACAGATCCTGCTGGCGGTGGATCATGGAGAAGGGGAGGCTTTGCAAAAGCCGAGCTTGGGGGCGGGGGGGGCATGGACCCTGATTGGTGGCACGAGGGGCTGGCTTCCCTCAGGGGATGTCTGGAACGTGTACGTGGCCCTCTCAGCCATTTTCCCCAGATCCGTCCTGAGTATCCCCGTCTCACAGCTGCGGGACGGGAGGCTCTGGATCACGTGTACTGGGTTCTTGCGTGCTCTCCCCTCTCCCCTCACCAAGCGGAGCTGTGCTGGGAGGACTGAGCCGTCAGCCATCACTCAGAGGTCTGCCTTTTGCCTTCTCTTCCTCCTCCTCCTCCTCCCCCAACACCCCAAATGTCAGATTGCCAGAGACAGGCGGGTGACAGGCAGCGGGTGACAGGAGGTGGCAGGCGGTCCCCCGCCCGCTGACGGGTCTTCACCCGGAGCCCCGGAGGCCAGGGTGGGCCTGGGCGGGGGGCGGTGCAGGCGGTGGGCAGGGCGCGGACAGGGGGTCCGGTGTGGGGTCCCGGGGACCCACTGCAGCACGGAAGGCACTGGAGGGAAAAGGCGCCTCATCAGCGGGAGGATTTGCATGCTGCCCTGAGACTTCGCTTCAGACGTTTAAAAATAAATAAGTGCGGTGTGTGTGTGGGGGAAATTGGCTTGGCCAGTGGCAGGAACGAAATAACTTGGCTCGTGCTGGGAGCTCGAGATAAACTCACTCGCAGGTCGTCTTGAGAAACTTGCATTTGATACATTTCGAGTTGTTATTTTCCCTCCAAATTAAGATTGGTTAAATCCATGTGTGTTGTGGCATGGATTATCTTTTTCTATTATTAAACCGTGACAGCTAATTATTAGCTCTGTCTACACTACGGAAGAGGGGAGTGCACTGTCGGAGGGATGTGGCCTGGGCTTAGGCTGCAATGCTGACTGCCCCCTTCCCGTGCCCCCCCGCCCCCACCCCGAGCTTGGGCAGGGCTGGTGAGTGCAGGGAAGGGGGTCTGGTCTGCCTGGTAACCCACCCTATGCTAGGTGCTTTTCTTGGGGAGAAATAGTTAGCAGCACTGAAACAGATGCCTGTGACCCCCCCCTTCCCCCCCCCCGCTTTGAAGTGAGACACCCTACTTTGCACTGGGGTTCAGAGAGGTTAAGGGACTTGCCCAAGGTCACACAGCAAAGTGGAATCGGACTCGGGCCAGCCTGGCCTCCGTGGACCACACGGGGACGGAAGCTTTTGGGGAGAGGTCGGCAGAGCCAGTGGAGGCAGGCACTGCCTCTAAGCCCCATCCGAGGTGGTCCCAGCAGCTGGTCCCAGGCGAGTTCCTTGCCCTCAGGTTCCCAGAGGCCTGGCCCACACAGTCAGCTCTCCAAGTCGA